ATACTTGGTTTCAGTGCATCCCTAATAGATACATACACGTTTAAACGGTTGGGATATATTTATAGCTATATATTGCACATATCTGGCACCTGGTATGTTATACATATACACTGATCAGCCATACCAGTATGACCACTGACAAGTAAAGTGAATAACATTGATTATCTCATTAAAATGGCATCTGAAAGTGGGTGGGTATAATAACCGCTTCCTGTCCAGCCTCTAGCAGAAGCACTGCTACAGGGCAGCACATGTCATGTGTGTGTATATATATGTGTGTATGTGTGTGTGTGTATATATATATATATATATATATATATATATATATATATACTCAGGAAGTCCTGAGGAAATCTCGTGATACGTGACGTGTCAGATTATTACGGAGACGTGGTGATGTCACTTCCAGCGTACACCCAGCATTTCACACATGAGGCTCTGTAAGCTTGATTTTATCAATGGAAATGTGAGTGAGCAATTTGCTGGTTTATGATATGTAAAATAAACATACAGTATTACACGATGGGAGGATTTCTCTTCTTCTTTCCAATATATATGTGAGTTGGCTGATTATATCATCCTGCCTAAAAGAAGTTTGGATGTCAGGATTGGTCATACCTATTGTTCCACAAGGGGGATACCACCACTACTGCTAAACTGGATTCGTATAAGCTGATTGGTCGTATTGCTATATCTTATATTGTTAAGGCTTATTGGCCCTTTGGGGTCACTGCATGAAGGTGAGGGGGCAATCCAGCCAGTGACGGATCCCAATTTTATCACCTATATTACTGTGGAAGCTTTCACTTGTTTGAAGAGTTCACATGGGGACATTTGTTGCTTATCATTGTTATATTATTTAATGGCACATTAGTTGTGGCATTACATGGCTAGTACCTAGTAGGGTTTTTTTTATGTTTTTTTTTTTTTTTTTTTTTTTGCAGCACATTGTGATATATTGCTGTGACACTTTTTTTGTGTTTGTGTTTACACAAATAAATCCCAATTAGGGATTTGATCACATGAGTTATATATTGTTCATTTTGGTCACTTATCACAATCTATGTGGAAGGACTTTGTGTGGTCTGAAAGTTTTTTTTAAGTCAGGCTTTTATCCTGACAGTCTCACTGTATGTTATTCATGCCAGTTGTGAGTCTTCTGGTCACTGCACTTTTTTCAGGCATATTTTATGCCATTTATTTATCACTTTATTTGTGAATTATGTCACTTTTTTCCCCATGATTTAAGGGATGCATGTATATTGTCTCACCATTTTCGTCAGTGTGTTATGTTTATTTCTCGTTTACACATATATATTCATTGCATATTATCACATGATATTGGCCTTTTTTGATGTATATATTTTCTTTGTTAGAATTAATTTGATATTTATGCACTAATTAAACCAATGGACGTGTCTGGGTTTGGTGGTTGCCAGCAGAACGGTTCTTGCCTGACTGCATTGTACCAAGTGTAAAGTTTGGTGGAGGGGGGATTATGGTGTGGGGTTGTTTTTCAGGGGTTGGGCTTGTCCCTTTAGTTCTAGTGAAGGGAACTCTTAAGGGGTCAGCATACCAAGACATTTTGGACAATTTCATGCTCCCAACTTTGTGGGAACAGTTTGGGGATGGCCCCTTCCTGTTCCAACATGACTGCGCACCAGTGCACAAAGCAAGGTCCATAAAGACATGGATGAGTGAGTTTGGGGTGGAGGAACTTGACTGACCTGCACAGAGTCCTGACCTCAACCCGATAGAACATGAATGGGATGAATTAGAGTGGAGACTGTGAGCCAGGCCTTCTCATATGACATCCGTGCCTGACCTCACAAATGCGCTTCTGGAAGAATGGTCAAACATTCCCATAGACACTCCTAAACCTTATGGACAGCCTTCCCAGAAGAGTTGAAGCTGTTATAGCTGCAAAGGGCGGGCCAACTCAATATTGAAGACCAAAAAAGATATTTGTGAAAAGAGATTCACAGGAAAGCGGCTACATTATGAACAGAATGCGATACTCAGAAAAATTTCCAAAAATGATGCTTTATTACACATTAATGATTGACACTCGGGCAATCGCCCTGGTTTACCATCACCTCAGTATGAGACAATACACACAGACCTAAAACCATTAAAAATCACACCTAGACCGGTCTGGATATCTGTGCTGCAAAGGCTATGACCACCATAGTCTAAAGCATTTGCAGCACCTGCACATAGGTTACACTCCCTGTAGGAGGTGTATTCAAAAAATTATACCATAGGTATATAATATCACATGCTATATATATAAGCACATGTTGTTACCATATAGGTTACACTCCCTAAAGGAGGTGTTTTTCAAGAATTGTACCATGGGTATATAATATCACATGCGAGCAAAAAAGACAAATACAGTTACCATCTGGAGAGAAGCATAACCCTAAGCCTATATAAGGCAATGTGGGTAAAACATTGAATGAAAAGGGGGGAATTACCCCAATGATATAATAATGGATTCATGCAGTACAACCCTGTAGGGGCACATGTGGTTGGGGCCCATCTATCTGCAATATACGTGAATAATTGCAAAGATTCTTATAGGTGAAAGAGTCCCTATTGATGTCTTGATGGAGAAATGGATGCAAATAACAGAGGCCTGCTTTGTATGGTTTCTTCACCACAACATGTGGACTGCAAACCACTTTAATATTTGAAATAAAATGAGGCCCAGTAGGTCTTCCGCCTGTTGCAATATATGTAGTATGCCTTGCATCTAGATAAAGCATCATAATGTCCCCATCCACCTGTGCAATGGGTAATAGAAAATAGAGATATCCTTCATAAGTACTGCCGTGTTGATCCAGGGAACTACCGCTTACATCAGCCGACATTTTGCAGGTTCCGACCTCTCCATGGCGCCTGTACAGCTTTTGCATGACTCGTGGCATGTGAAAATGGCTGCCTCCTTGTAGGTCGGCGTGCATATCGCCAGTGCGCATGACCGGAAGTGACGTATCTGACGTATGACGTCAACGCATTTTGCCGATGGGCGTATCTCACTCGGCTTCGTCAGGAAACCAGGGCGATTGCCCGAGTGTCAATCATTAATGTGTAATAAAGCATAATTTTTGGAAATTTTTCTGAGTATCGCATTCTGTTTATAATGTAGCCGCTTTCCTGTGAATCTCTTTTCACAAATCTCTTTTTTGGTCTGCGTGTTTTTTGGCTACTGGATGGAAGCCATATATTGGGTGATACAGTAATTTATAGTTGAACCTCTAAACCTATCTTTTACCAACTCAATATTGAACCCTACGGACTAAGACTGGGATGCCGTTAATGTTCGTGTAAAGGCAGGTGTCCCAATACTTTTGGCAATATAGTGTGTGTATGTATAGGTTCACACTGATGCGGTGCAGAATTCGCATCGATTTCTGTGTGATTTCCGCACCACGTCATAATCACACCCCGTTCATATGAACTGCTGCGGGTGTTTATTTTAAGTTAAAGACACCCCGAAATCAGTTTGCAAAACGCAGTGCGATGTGCAGAATAGGATTGCATGGGTGTGCCATATGATTCTGGTGCACACAAAAAAAGGGTCCTGCACTTTTTTGGTGCGGATGCGGTGGATTTGAGCCATACAAAATGTATGGCTCAAATTGCACTGAACAGAAATCGTATGTGATTTGCACAGGAATGCGGTGCTGTTCCTGTGCGAATCACATGTGATGTGCCGCACCGCATCAGTGTGAACCCAGGCTAAAGGTCCACATACATGTTAACATGAATCAGGGAAAAGTAATAGGGCCTCTTGAAAGGTAACCTGCCATGAGAGGAACTGGGAGCTGCTGCTGTGGAACTCACATTCTGAACATGCTAGTTGCCTGGCTGTGATTGCTGTTTTGGCTTCAAGACTTTGTATGATTCTCTGTAGATTTGACAAATCATGACAAGTATTCAGGGAATCCAAAATTCATCATTCTTTTTAATTCATGTGCTGAGCACTATTGCGGAGGTATACCTAAACATCCAGTCATGGTAGAACCCTTAGACATGCATATAATAGTATGATACAGAATTAGAGCCATGCTTATGGTCAGGGTGGATTTTATTTAAATCACTGGTCAGTAAGGTTTGATTTAAATCATCGTTTTCTACATAGACTAATTCTTGCTGGTATAACTTTAATATGCAAGTAGATGAAGATTTTTAGATTAACAACTTTTCATATTCGTTTTTTTATCTCCAGTTTAATAGGTTAATCATTCATATTTGGACAACTTTTCTGTTGTACTTAGGAAAGAGAAAAATAATCATTACCTTAATAATAACAATTTAAATAGATTTATTCAACTGAAACAATAACATTCCAGCATGTGTTATTTGCTTAAACATCCATGTTTGTTAACTAATTTGGCTAAACAAAATCTATATATTTTAAGAAACTTAGACTGTCAGCCCCTTCCTCCTCACACTTAGCTTCACTTTCTTCTTGAGCAGATCTATTCCACTCCAAACAATCAGTAAAATATTGTTTCTATTCTATTCACTGAACTTCTTGAAACTTAGCACTGAAGGGGTTGATTCTGTATTCATAGGTTTGTAGAAGTTAGGATTAAGGTCTTTTTCTTAACTCTGTTCATGTTCTAAACATTTTTGCTGTGAAGAAGAGGCATGTGATCTCCGCTGAGTCAAATTCAGTTTTGAGAACTGCAAAAGTAAACCAAGCATCTGTGATAATATCTTGTAGGCAGAGAAACTGCCCAATAATCTTACAAAAACCTCTGGAAGAGCATGACATTGTGAATGGATTAATGGAATTTATTTACCAAAAAAATTAAACATATACAGCCTTATTCTACATAATTAAAAAACTAATCTTTATTTCATGATGAAATAACCTTTGGATGGTAATATATTTTCCTCAAAAAGCATTTTATTCAAAAAAATCCAATTTAAATAAAAAAAAATCTGATTTTTTTTTAAAAAATCATTGATTTTTATCCACCCTGCTTATGGTACAGTTCATACTTAGGGTAATATTACTGCCGTTGTTGTCTCTCTCAGAACCTGTGAAAAAGTCGGTGTTAGAAGAATATGGATTCCCACAGAGCGGCACTGAAGTGAGGCAGTATGTTGGTCACTCTTTATCCTATGATCAAGAAAAGAAGACTCCCCGATGGGTGATTGAACATCTTACAAAGGAGAAAACACTTGGTAAGTGCATCTCTAGACAAGTGTTTGGGTGTTCTCTCACTGGCCACGTTTTCCTGTGTGGTGTATCCAGTGACACTGACAGCTATGCAGGTGTACCCCATGATTATTGGATGGTGCTCATTGTGAGCTGTACGTAAGTTCAAGACAGCCTAAGTATATACTGAAACTGTCTTTCAGAATAACTCACTAAAAGAGAGCTTAAATGATGTCATATGTATGAACAAAATAAAAAAAAAAAAACTTCAACACATCTCTGTTATAGATGCACATTTCACCATGATTGGTCTCTTTAAAAATGCTGCAAATACAGACAAATACTTGCTGGTCCTGCCAGAACTGCAGTGAGCGCCTAACATTCTGTGCACTTGTCCTCTACTGCACTCAAATCCCAAACAGTGTTATCAGTCCTGCCAATTTCACCTCTCTGAACTCCAGAATATTCCCTACCCCTCAATACATAAAGATAAGGATCGGGGAGGTTTTGTGTAGTCCCAAAACACTTCTTGCCCTGGAGGTACAATGTTATAAATAACCGTATATTAAGTAAATGTTGCCAACCCAGGATGGAAAGTGTGTTACTGGCAGGACCACCAGGCAAAAAAAAAGGGGGAAAAAGTCACAGCCAACACATCTAAGGTCTTTTAAGCTGCAATATATTATATTTTTGTTCTCGAGATTAGATACACATTTGTTTCCAAGATTTGAATCTGCTGTGTTATATCTGACGTTTACTATCCTATTTACAGTATTTGTTTTACAATTAAACATCAATAATTTACAAAGGATTCCCAGAGCACTAATGACTAGCTAAAGAGACAGCACAGCAAAGCAGCCTCATTTTTCTCATCCTTGATCTGAGTCACTGGGATGAATTGTATGTGAATGTAAAATTCAGCTTAAGCTTTAGAAGTCTGTAAACCACAGGCTTTACAGCAAAGTGAGAGCTTGGGACTTATGAAAAGGAGACTAAAGCACCCTCCCCAGGGTCAAAAGAACATTATATTAATTTATGTTTTTTGTTTTTTTTGGATCATAATAAATAAGAGAAGTAATTATGTAAAAGACCACTATATAGTTTAAAGGGTATTTCCCCTAAAAAAAATCAGTTTGATTAAAAACTGTACTCCCTCAACTCCCTCATAAGCAACACCCTTACCCAGTTGCCTATACAGTAATACCTTGGTTTACGTACGCCTCGGTTAATGGAACGTTCGGTTTACAAATGAAAATCCACTGACAATAATGCCTCGGTTTACGAATTTTTACCGCAATAGGAAGCAAGTTTCCCCAGGATGCATTTCGCCTGGGAGGTTTATATGTGTCCATTCACACACGGAGCTGTGACTTGGCCCCACCCCCCTCTTCTCAGTGGCTCACTGGCTGTGATTGACAGCAGCGGGAGCCAATGGCCCACTGAGGCTGTTATTCACATTGCTGGATCGCGATGAGGCTCAGGTAAGAATTGAAGGGGCTGGGGGCACTGCTGCACACAGAAGGTAAAATACATGAAGGTAAAAAACCTTGCGCCTTTGTAACCACTTTAAGTTATGCAACAGTAGCTAAATTCCCCACTAAAATAAATCCCTAAATACACACACAGTGCATATAATATTAAGTGAAAACCATACCTCATAAATAAATTATATCCGTGACATAAAAAATATCAATATAAAACAAAATATATAAGGAAAAACTTTTCCTTGCCCTTAAATTAATTCTTCAAATCAAACATTAAAAAAAATAAAAAATCCATGATATTGCAAATAAACAGTGATGAAAAAAAAAAATTATATATATAAAAAACTGTGTTAATTACCATATATATATATATTTGTGATTATTTCTAATAATAAATGTGACAACCTAACAGAATAAAAAATATAAAAAAATGTGAATCTCAATCAAATGTACGTGATTATTGTGAAAAAAAACCATATATTAAACTATTACATAAAAAAATCACTAGAACTTGTGATATTTCAAATATGAAAAAGTGTCCATAAATGAACAAACACAGTCCATGCAGTAAGGTGAAAACGACACTCAGTGTTCTTCACTTCTAGTGCTCATAAAAAAGAAAGGGAAGAAATCCTCCAATGGCAGCAATGCCTGCTCACCTCCCCAACTCGACCCGCAAAGGGCCACAAGGCTATAACTCTCCTCCAGGAAATCGTTTGCTTCCAAGCAGCTCAGTAAGGAATCACAGGACCTCCTCTCCACCTCCTCTCAAACGTCATATAGGACACAAACAGAGCTTCCCATAGTGTAATACCATTTGTTTATTCAAGACACTCCATATAACAAACTGTTTCCACTCACATGCGTTTGGTTAAAAAAATGCAGTCCTCCTCATTCCCTGGGTGCATTCACATGTAAAGAGGGAAACCAATATGGTCGCTGTGCTCGGACATCCGTCCCCACGTGACCGGAAATGATGTGTCTCTGGGCTGGGAAAAGCGTGCCGACGCGTTGCGTCACGTGCGTCGTGACTTCATCGTGCCGACGCACGTGACGCAACGCGTCGGCACGCTTTTCCCAGCCCAGAGACACATCATTTCCGGTCACGTGGGGACGGATGTCCGAGCACAGCGACCATATTGGTTTCCCTCTTTACATGTGAATGCACCCAGGGAATGAGGAGGACTGCATTTTTTTAACCAAACGCATGTGAGTGGAAACAGTTTGTTATATGGAGTGTCTTGAATAAACAAATGGTATTACACTATGGGAAGCTCTGTTTGTGTCCTATATGACGTTTGAGAGGAGGTGGAGAGGAGGTCCTGTGATTCCTTACTGAGCTGCTTGGAAGCAAACGATTTCCTGGAGGAGAGTTATAGCCTTGTGGCCCTTTGCGGGTCGAGTTGGGGAGGTGAGCAGGCATTGCTGCCATTGGAGGATTTCTTCCCTTTCTTTTTTATGAGCACTAGAAGTGAAGAACACTGAGTGTCGTTTTCACCTTACTGCATGGACTGTGTTTGTTCATTTATGGACACTTTTTCATATTTGAAATATCACAAGTTCTAGTGATTTTTTTATGTAATAGTTTAATATATGGTTTTTTTCACAATAATCACGTACATTTGATTGAGATTCACATTTTTTTATATTTTTTATTCTGTTAGGTTGTCACATTTATTATTAGAAATAATCACAAATATATATATATATGGTAATTAACAGTTTTTTATATATATAAATTTTTTTTATTTTTTTTTTTTTTTCATCACTGTTTATTTGCAATATCATGGATTTTTTATTTTTTTTAATGTTTGATTTGAAGAATTAATTTAAGGGCAAGGAAAAGTTTTTCCTTATATATTTTGTTTTATATTGATATTTTTTATGTCACGGATATAATTTATTTATGAGGTATGGTTTTCACTTAATATTATATGCACTGTGTGTGTATTTAGGGATTTATTTTAGCGCTTCACTATTTTTGGTTTTGATACTTTATTACCTATTGGTTAAGGCAGAGTGTTAGCAGCTGTTAGGATAGGGACTTACCCATACTAAGCGCAGGAGGATATTCCCATTTTTTAAATTCCCCACTAGGTTCCACTGTCTTTTATGAATAGACTTTCTCACTTGACAGACACAAGGCTCAATACACTGTGATTTACACAAGGGTTCTTACTCTACTATTGCAGCTATATTAACTGAGTCTAAAAGCTTGGTAAGTTAAAACAGAACTCTGCCTTCAAGCCACAAATATGCGAGCAGGGAGATTTTTTATTTCAATAAAAACTTCTTCCTGTGCTCACATTGCATTAGAATGTATACCTCAAGATGCTTTAAATTGTATACTGCACCATTGTGGGGATGAATGAATGCCCTTGTACATACACAAGATCTACATTAGCTGGGGCAAACTAATCAAGATGGGCAAAGATGCTGAATCCAGAAGAGCCAGAGAATGTCAGCAGTGTTGAGGGAATTCATGGACATTGTATCACTAGAGGGGAGGTTTTTACCATATTTTTGCCGTGTTTCAAGTGCATTTTGAACCTGTGACTCAAAAAAGCAAGCTGGTGTGCATTTTTGATGCGTTTTCCTTTCATTTCAATGGGGGGGATGTGTTTTTGTTTTTTTTTTTTTTTTTTTTTGTTTTTGTTTTTTTACTGCTCCAACCATGCACCAAAATGCAGCAAGCAGGACTCTTAAAAACGCAACAGACCCACAACTGACCAGTGTGAAGAGTCCCATAGGATTTAATGGTCATGTGCTTTTGTTCCGTTTTTGGGGTTGTTTTGTTTTGTTTTTATGTGTTTTTTTTTAATCAGGTTCTTTTTATTAAACACATTTTTCTTTTAACAGAAAAAAAGTATACAGAAAAGTAAATAAAACATACATTTCCACAGTGTATAGAAAATAAATTTCCAGGATCATCAAGGAAAAACTGATCAGTGTGAAAGCTGCCTAAAGCCCACCAAGGCTGAAAGCGTCAAAACGTTTTCTTTATTGGGAATTCTTGTACTTCTCATGGACTTGCGATAAACTTAATTTTAGAGCACATTCCACAGAGCTGACCTTTTTCGTTTGGATGGCTATTTAACAGCAGGATCGTGGTTTTGCCACATGTGGAGCTCTGTTCATAGCAGAATGCAACTGATGGGTTGTAGCATCACATCTCTTGTTGTAATTGAGGAAATTAGTTCTGCTTTAATGTTAAAACATACCATTTACTTAAGCTCTTTTTCTTTCTGTAGGCAATGAAGACCGGAAACACTATAATTTTAAACCAGATCCAAACATTCCAGCAATATTTAGTGCCACTAATGAGGATTATTTAAAAAGTGGATGGTCCAGAGGTCATATGGCACCAGCTGGAGATGCCAAATATTCTCCGGTATGAGTTTAATAGTTTTATTTGTGTTATTTTATTTTACTTATTATTACTCATTTATATTATTACTACTACTATTTTATTTAATATTAATATATTTTTATTGCTATTTTATTTTATTATGCTCATGTGCCAGCTGCCATCACATAATAACAACTTGCATTGACCAAGGACCAAGATAGCACTTAACAGTTGTCTGGGGATCAAGTCCAGCCCCATTCCTCCCAAAAACAGGATAGCTATTTCAGGTAGAGCGCTACTTTAAGAGACCATTGTCACCAATACGTGCATGTCATATGCAGTATGGGGTGTGTCTATTCATTTCTAATCTCTATGTGCGTATATGTACAAACATGCGTGACCCGCAGGGCACGCAATACGTCAGGTCTTTTCTCCCCCCCCCCCCCCCCCCCCCTTGCCCCCATTAGTCTTGTATTCAGGCCCATAGAGAATGAATGGAATTATGCAACACTACATGCATTAACTTACCAAAGAAACGCACGTCAATGCCGATACAACAGTGTGATTGTGTCCTAAAATTTTGCATTCTAGTGGTTTTTGTTTTTAAAGGTTTTTTTTTCTTGATATGCTGTAAATACAAGATAATCTTATTCTAAATAAACCTTTGATACATGACAAAGTATCCCCAAAACTCTATTGACTCGCATTACAAAGCTACCACACCAGGTTATTGATTCTTATTTTTTTTAAAACCTGACAGTTATTATTATTCAGTCCAATGAGGTTTAAGAATTTTAGTCACGAGACTGAAAATAAAAAATTCATGAGTTTTGTGTTAAAGCCTAATATGTTTGTAAGTGTGACAGTGCCGCACACCTGATAGCCCAATCTCAAAGGATAGAAAAGAACAGCCTCAACTACTGACCAATTAAGTCCACTGACACGTTTCACTGTTTCCAGGTTTGAGTTAATTTAAATAATTCATTTGGGCCAAGCTGGTCCAAACGATCTATTTTGATTATTAAGAAATACGCTTGCTGTTAGCGCTGTATAAGCTGTTTGTAGCATCAGTTGCATACGGTATACAGCAGTTTGTGTGTCAATGGTACAGAGACTTCCTGTCTTGTTCCCGGAACAAAATCAAGTTGGGCTGAGCCCTGCTCAGTCATTCACAGATAGCCTTGTACTTTTATGATTTAATATAAGGCTTTCTCTGATTGGCTAAGGTGAGGGGATCATGATGTCATCCACCCACCTCTCCATGTTAACGTGCATTGCGTTTAAAGGCACAACAATGCATCATATTTCAGTAGACATGCAGTATTTTTTTACAACTCCGCACAACAGACACACACTTCACATCTGCTCTGCCTGGGTACAATTCAAATAAATGGCTCTGCGATGCACCACACTTTGTTTCCTGCATTCCAGTGTGTTACCACAACACAATAGTTTAAAGGGGCCCTTAGTCAGTGAGATCTTGCTGCTGATCTCTTTCACATGTATAGCTAAGGCTAAGTGTACAAAGGTTCCAAGCAGCATCTGGGCCCTGTCTGCTTTTGGTCACACTTAGCGCAGCCTGAACAGGAGCAACAGTAGTCCTCATATCAATAGCTTTTAGGCTCCATTCTAACCCATCGCACACTCTCCATATTGTTGTGGTGCATTACCATTCAGACAAAGTATGAAGAGACATACCTGCTCTTCAGTGGACTACAATTTACAGATGTGCCGCATTACCCCAATAAAGTTCAAGTTCATTTTTTTAAGTGTGTTAAGAACCCATTCAAAGTGAAAATGTTTCCTTTACCATGTACACGGTGTGTGTGTGCAGAGGAAATGATATTCACCTAAACTGATCCTATAACATTTTAAAATGAGTATTAGCAGCACAGTGGTTAGGTGGTTAGCACTTCCACCTGGCAGCACTAGGGTCATCGGTTCAAATCCCAACCATGACACTACCTGCCTGGAGTTTGTATATTATCCTTGTTCCTGTGTGGGTCTCCTCTGGGTACTCCGGGTTTCTCCCACACTCCAAAGACATGCTAATAGGTTCATTGGCTCCTGTCTAACTTGGCCCTAGTATGTGTATGTATGAATGTGAGTTAGGGACTGAGGTGAATGTACAATATAAGTATATGTAAAGCGCTGCATAAGTTGACGGTGCTATAGAAGTACCTGTAATAAATAAATGATAGAATATGAAATCTATAAATTTTAATGCTTATTGAACAACTGGTTAGCTTTGTTATTTTAAGTAAAAAAGAAAAGATAAGCTTGTTTTTCCTTTATACAGAAGTCTATATGCTGACATGTTGCTCAATTTAGGCTTCCAAAATGTTACACTTCCGAGATAAAATGGCTAACCTTATCTATTTCCTGTCCTACAGGAAGCAATGGCTGAAACATTCTATCTTTCCAACATTGTGCCTCAAAACTATGAAAATAACGCTGGCTTCTGGAACCGGTAAGAGTTGTGAATTCAGATAATATCAGCTGTGTATGTGCAAATATTCAGATAGGGCTTGTTCACAACTGCTTTGCTCTGTGAAGAGTGATCCATGTTAGGATCGCCCTTCAGAGCATTTGACAGGCGGCGGGGAAGGATTTTTTCTGTGCGTGGTCACTTCAGAGGGGTATAATTCCTGCCAAAGCCATGAAGCAAGGCATCATAGTCGAGGTGTGTGTAGACCCACAGCCGCTACCTGTGCAGCTAAAGGAGGAGTGGTTGAAGGACAGTAAAAAAAAAACTAACTTTAGGGTTTTATAATCCCCCTCAAACTGCAAGTGTAAAAGAGCCATTAAGGTTCATTCCAACAGCAGCTTATCAAGCCATTATATAAGTCATGATCACAAAACTAACCCATCAATTTAACTGTTTCCCAAAACGGCACATTTACATGTTGTGCAGTGTCTTGCATTTTTCCATACCAAATCAACACAAGGGTGCGTAGAAAACAATTTTTTTCTGTGTGTCTCCTTAACATTTTTAACATTTTTTGCTGTGTAGATGTGCATTGCAGTGCATTGTTTAACCACGTTAGTACCGCGCTGTAGCTGAAAGACAGCAATAGTGCGGCTCTCTAGTTACGGGAGGACGTCCATGGACCCCCTGGAGCGCACATTGGGCTTGCTCTGTGTCAGTTGTGTCTTTCGGACACAGCTGATCGCAGATCGTGGTAAAGAGCCCATCACAGCAGCCCTTTACCATGTGATCAGATGTGTGCAATGTACAGTGTTGCATGACTAAATAGTTGACTTTCAAAATCTGACTTTACTTAAAGCTAAAATTTGGCCTGGTATTGAAGTGTTTAAAATGCAGTATGTCTGCATTTAATGCAATGCACATGAGTAGATGCAAGCAATCTTCTGATTCTCATTTCACTGTCCAGCCATAGAGCAGGGAAGGAGACTTCTTCCAAGACTTGGCAACCGCGCTATAGCTGAATGACAGCTACAGCACAGTTACCCAGTTCTGGGAGGGCGTCACCCGGCAATTACTGTGTCCTACGGACACAGCTGATCACGTGATGAATTAAAAGGCCAATCACAGAGGCCTTTTACCACATGATCAGCTGTGTCTAATGACACAGCAGATCACAGAGTAAATACAGTTTCCGGTTATCGGCAGCAATTTCCTCACGCTGCCACAGCGTGAGGAAAGTACTGCCAATAACCTTCAACTGTCAGAAGGGATCGGCACTGATCATCAGTGCCCAGCAGTGCCACCCATCAGTGCTGCCCAGCAGTTGTGCTCATCACTGCCGCCCTTCAGTGCACAGCAATGCCACCAGTCAGTGCCGTCAGTCAGTGCCGCCCGTCAGTGTTGCCCATCAGTGCTGCTGTATATCAGTGCAGCCCTGCAGCCTCATCAATGCCCACCAGTGCTGACTCATCAGTGCCACCTGATTAGTGCATCCTATCAGTGCTGCCTATCCATGCCACCTCTTCAGTGCTGTGCTGCCTATCAGTGCAGCCTCATCAACACACATCAGTGAAGGAGCAAAATTACCTGTTCGCAAAATTTTATAATAGAAACAAAGAAAAGCTTTTTTTTTTTTTGCTCTTTTTAATCACCCAGTGGTGATTACATACCACCAAAAGAAAGCTCTATGTGTGTGAAAAAAAAATTATAAAAATTTCATATGGGTACAATGTTGCATGATCACGCAATTGTCATTCAAAGTGCGACAGCGCTGAAAGCTGAAAATTGGCCTGGGCGCGAAGGGGGTATAAGTACCCAGTAGGCAAGCAGTTAAAGCAGAACTTTACTCGTAACAACTTGAAAAAAAATAATGTTCTTTAGCAAGAAACGTACATTCCACATTAAAAATTATGCTACTAAAATTGAGTCCTCTAAATTGCCTTTAGCATTTGTCCTGTTTCTTCTTGATGGAGGCTGCCATTTTGCTTAAGCCCCCAGAGCTCCTGAGCAGCAGTAAATCTTTAGGCTGTCACAGGGGTGTGAACATTTTTGAAAAAAACTGCTTGTCCAGGGACTAAATCGGTGTCTCAATCTACTTATCCCACATGACAATCTACTTATCCTGATAAAAAACATAACTTTTAACCAAAACCGTATTTAAATCTACTTTAGGTAATGTCTGGGGCTTTTAAAAGCAAAAGGGGCTTTATGGCGACTTAAACGTTTAATATTTGCGCTGTTTATTTCCTCCTCCTCTCCCTGCCTCTCTCCAGCACCGTACCCGGGGACTAGCAGGGAGGAGAGAGACCTTGCAGTGTAATGAGCACCGATTGGGTGCTTTTCAGGAAAGGGGAGTGCCGGGCTTATCCTAAGACCTGAAGATGACACAAAACCCCCAACATTATATATTTTTTTAAATCGGATCCTAGAGAATAAAATAGAGGTAGTTTAAATTTTTTATGTCACACGATATTATCACAAAGGTCTAGGAAACGCAAAATTTCAGTAAAAAATACAATGAAGTTAATTTTAGGGCACAATAAGCAATAAATTATCCAATTTTTTGTAAAATATAAAAGATGAGGTTGCATCAATTAAATAGATATCCAACATGTCAAACCTTAAATTTGCGTGCACTCGTGAAATGGCAACAAACTTTAGTACCCTATATTTGCTAGAGGTGGCGCTTTTAAAGACCCTTATAGGTCATCAGTATAGTGTTACGGAGGAGGTCTGATGCTAGAATTATTGCTCTCATTCTGGCGTGCGTGCCTATTTGTAACGTATATAGCAATCAACGTTTTCATGTGTAGGGCACCCCAGCGCATACTTTTACGTATGTACGTGCATACATATGTGGGGGTGGGGGTCTTGAAAAAAACATTTTTTTTTTGGGGGGGGGGGTTATATGCGCCAGTGTAACTTAAATTTAAAATAGATATTTTTACTTAACTTTTTTTTTAATCACGTGATGATTTTTTGGTGACAGGTTCTCTTTTTTGAGACATCCAAGGTCTAAAAGATCCTGGATATTTCCCCTGTGCTCCCCTGAATGCACATCGCACTGCATTACATTCTTTCCCCGTCCTCAATGACCGGAATCTGTCAAACAGGGACCTGGAAGTGATGTCACATCACTTCCGGGTCAGGACAAGAAGGGGAGGGGAGCGGATGTGTCCGCTCTTCTCCCTCCCCTATACCACATCCAGCCAGCACCCACTGAACCAGTTCCGGACCCGCAGATGGGCAAGCGGAGCACTGTTTGCTGTGTGGAAGCAATCAAGCAGCAGTGTCTGGAACTGCATGTCCTGGCGTTGGGCGATATGAATTGCACATCCCTGCTGTGAACAGATCGCCAGCTACATTTTCGGCACAGTGCCGGAAAATAGAGACAAACCAGTGTATTACTGGATTTTAAACCCGTACATGGACTTATTTTTAATGTTTCACATAGCTATGCCTTCAAAAGGGGCCACACTGAAATGATCTAGCAGGACTTAATAATTTTCTGACTAAAGTTCCACTTTAAGGTAGTCCTTGCTCCATTTTTTTTTGGCCTTAATAACAGGATCCTTGTTAAGATTTTCTTTATAAAACGTGTGGTAGATTGATTTGGATTTATACATGAAGAAACATGTTCTGCCAATTTTATAATATTCCTATGAGGCTCCCTCTTGCCATGGAAATGTGCAGTTATCATCTTGACTGAGTGAATTCTCACTGTAATTGATTTTAACAGTCTGCTGCCTCCCAGACAAACTACGCACTTTGTCTTGCAAACAGAACTGTTACTTATTTAAAAATATTTAGGCATGTGCCATAGACATGGAATTAGTGGTACCAAAAAAAAAATTCTCAGGAAAATAAAATGAAAAAAAATAAAGCTTCATGATAATAAAAAAAAAAATGTAGTGTGTGCGTGCGTGTCAGGGAAAAAAAAATCTTAGCCATTTTAATTGGTTCGCTATGGGGATTAGTTGTTTCAGTCTTTATGCCTACAATGGAGTGTCAATGGGAAAGAACAGATTTCCAAACATGACTTTTTTGAAAAAAAATTAGATAATACAACAAGCTATTTTAATGCCCTAACATATTATATAACTTTTTTTCGGGATAGATAGATCTTTAATTTGGTAACCTATTTAGGAAAAATTATAGGAAAATACATTTTTTTTTTCGTTTCCAACACTATGTTAACATTTGCTCAAATCCATATATTTCTTTTAAAAATAAAATCAACAAATTCTTCCAGTTAAAATTATATCACATTAAGGCAACTGTAATGCAGCAGAGGGATGAGCTTAAAATCAACGCATTAATTTTACAAGTCAGTTGTAAATGCTTTGTCACACCACTCCTAACTGATAGATTTGCAGAGAGCATACATACTGGGCAGATCACCAAGTGAAAATAAAAGAGAGCCTAAAAAAGAAAACTAATACATTCATCACATCTAAGAATTGGTAAGTTGCAATATAATAAATGTTAGCTTTTGGGTTTAATACTGCTTTAACTAGGTCTTTTAATTTTTCTTTATTATTTTGTCTACAAATTCTTCAGGTAACTCCTCACTGACTTTTAATGCCACAAATATAATCAGTGCATCAGTTTCAACCCAACCTCAGTAACTTTTGAGATACCCAGGACCCCATACTGTGGGGAAGGCCTGTAATGTTTCTTCAGGCACTTGATCCTGCATGGGCATTCACCTTGGCACTTGTCAGCCACAGGGTGCTATACAAGTCCAGGGCTGTGGTCCATCCCTATGTAGCAAGTCCCTAAAAAAACTTTTCAAGGGCATGCCCAATGAGAAGGGCAAAGCCTAGACTCTATAGTCAGTGCAGTGCTGTGGACAGGTAAGACAGAGTCACTCTGTATGCTTCTGATTGTTACTTCTAAAGACCAGGACAGTATTTGAGTTGTATTCACTACAGTGTAATGTTTTCAGATTTGGTGTTAAAAACTCAACCACTCAGAGCTCAACCACTCAGAAGGGGTATTCTCACTCTTAAGAGTAAGGGGATGTCTGTTACAGGTTGCACCTCCCCGGGTAACAGACATCCTAGATCCGTGGTTTTAAAGGGGTACAAAGTAAAGTTCAAACCTCTACTGCTTTCTCCTTTCAAATCAACTAAAAACAGCCCAAGAAAAGTCAGATTTGTAGAATGCTTTGAACCTGAACCTCTGGGACCAAGTCCCGGTGGGTTGGGTGAAACGTGTCGAAGGGTGTGGCCAAAGCGGTGGCTGAGGCAATTCCTCAGTGTGGGACTCCTGGGGTAGATTGAGCGGCATCCATCCCTTCACTTGTATTGGGTGACACTGAAATAGCCCAGACATATGCTCCCCTCTTCTCACTTGCTGGCAGGGTGATCCTTCTACTTCCATCTATAGCTTGGAGTGGTCCCATAAGGTATACTTTTCACTGAATCATTTCTTGTAATGTAGAGTCGTTTTTCCAGTGCCTCCACAAGACAAGTTCGAAGGATTCTTTCAAACCTGTTTACGGTGCCAAAGCCCAATGGGGGTGTTCACCCTATTCTGGACCTGAAACCCCTCAACAAATGCCTTCAAATTCCAAAGTTTCACATGGTATCTGTATGGTCCGTAATTGCCTCTCTGAGACCAGGTGAATATATGGCATCCGTAGACATTCAAGTTGCCTATCTACATATTCTACTTTATTAAGCTCATCAGTGCTTTCTGCACTTTGCAGTGGCAGACAATCTTTTTCAGTTTGTCACACTGCCCTAGGCCTATCCTCTGATCCCAGAATATTCGCATGGGTCCTAGCACCTCTTCTTGCCCTTTTCTTGAAATCAAGACATTCAAGTCACAGGCTACCTAGACAGCCTTTTCCTGAAAGACTCTTCTCTAATCCAGCTGTCAGCAAATGCCCACAGGATTGTTCAGATTCTCCAGGCTTTCGGTGGGTGATCAATTTTAAAAAAAATCTGCTGTCTAGCCTTCTCTTTGACTGGAATACTTGGGTCTCACGTTCCACTCAAAGACCTCCTGCAATGAGACTCTAGGCCTCATGATAGCAGCCTTCGAGGCTGGCACATTTTCCTGATTTAATTCAGGGGCTCCAAAACACAACATTCATGCTCCTTTTCTAAACCTAACCAAGCTTCTGTGCAACCAAGCAAGGGACTCCCTGTCTTAGTGATTTAATTTCATGATAACAGATGCCAGTCTTTCAGACTGGGGAGGAGCGTTCCAAGTCCTCATGGTCCAGGGAACAGTGATAGCCCAGCTCCCCATTAACATTCCTGGAACTCAGCAATTCAGTTGACTCTGCAGCTTTGGACCTCCCTTCTGTGAGGACACCCAATCAGGGTACAGTGAGACAATACCATGGCTGTAGTCTACATCAGCCACCAGGAGTCATACAGCCTTGAACGAGGCAAGCCACATAATCTCGTGGATGGATACTCGCTGTCCAGTGATCTCTGCAGTCTACATCACAGGAGTGGAAACCTGGAAAGCGAACTACCTTAGCTGTCACTGCCTTGATCAAAGGCGATAAGCCTTTCACCCAGAGATCTTTATTCTGATTTGTCCAAAATGAGGGACTCTAGATGTAGACATCCTTGCATCCAGATTCAACAACAAACTTCCTCTAGTCCTAGCCTTGGATGCCTTGAAAATGACATGGTTTCAGCTTAGGCTGATCTATGCCTTCTCTCCTGTGCAAATTTTGCCTCGTCTGTTAAAAAAAGATAGCACAAAAGATGGAAACGGCGACTCTAATTGCACCAGATTGGCCCAGGAAAACCTAGCACACAGACATACTCAGACTTCCAGCAGATGACCCTGGCCTCTTCTCAATAGACCAGATATGCTATCTGGCTCTCTGTTCTATTCTTCTTCACAGCCTCTGGTTTTAATGTTATGACTGTTGAAAGCCCAGGTCTTAAAAGATAGAGGAGTCTTTGAGTTATTCCTACCTTACTAAAAGCAAAAAGAAAGCCACTTTCAGAACGATCTCCTGTCTTCTGGAAATTCTTCTTTGTCTGGTGAAAACACAGGCACTTCAATTCCAGAGGTTACTCTGTGCCTCACATTCTGACATTCCGACAATCAGGTCTTGACTAGAACGTGGCCTTTACCACTCTGAAACGACTGGTCTTAGCCTTTCCCATTGTCTTGCAAAGACCTCTGGCTTCACTCTCCCTTGAAAAAACGTTCCTCCAAGGTATGTCTTGCATTAAGCCCCACTTGCAGCAGCTGTGTTTCCATGAGATCTCAACTTGGTTCTCTCTGCCCTGCAGGAACCACCCTTTGAACCCATCAGGGATATTCTTTTACAAGATCTCTCCTGCAAATTAGCCTTTTTGGTTGCTATCACATTGGTCAGATTTGTCACTGAGTTAGCAGCCATCTCCTGTAAGGAGCCGTTCTTCATACTTCACACATATAAGGTTGTCTTATTCCCAAGACCATCTTTCTTCTCAAGGCGATGTCAGGCTTCCACCTAAATGAGGATATAGTCCTACTATCTTTATGCACTGCTCCTAAGCAACCTAATAAATCTCTTCATTGCCTGCAGTACTCAAAACCATTAGAGTTTTTCAGCTACAGCTTCAATCATACAGACAAATTCCCTATTTGTCCTGTTTTCAGGAATTTGAAAAGGACACCCTGCTTCCAAGTTCCCCATTTCAAGGTGGATTAGAAATCTGATCATTAGAGCTTACACTCTCAAGGACAAATCTCCTGAAATCTTACATGCCCAATCCACCGTTTCCTGGGCATTTCAACACCAGGCTTCAATAGCCCAGCTGTGAAAGTTCACCAACTGGTACTCTGTTCATACCTTCTCAAGGTTCCACCAAGTGGATGTCCAAACTTCTGCGGATGCAGCTTTCGGATGATGAAATCGTGAAACTTTTTGCGACTTTGATCTGACTTTATGCTCTATGGACCTAAGTCGCATCAAAGTAGTGCAGGCACCTTTTCAAAATCGTTGCAACTTTTTAAGACACACAGATCTGAACGGGTGCCATTGAAAATGATGGGCTGTGAGTTTTCATGTCCACAGTCGCATAACAAGTCGCGTAGGTATGAATGGAGCCTTCAGCCACAAGGTTCTTGCAGCTGCACTTTGAAGTTGAGCTCTTTTTGATCCAAGTTGTTGTTCCTGTTGGCACATTTCTGTCTACCTAGTTGTTGCTCAGCCTTTTCATTTATTGGTTTATTGCTGATTAAGATAAGAGGAATTTGTAAATTCCATTTATTTAAGTATAGTACAGAACACAGACCACTCTGTCTTCCATTCCTTTGTTGCCCTGCATTGCTTACTACAAAACTGAGGACTCACGAAGTGGGATAGGATTATATAGGGGAGGCGCCCAGGTGGTGTCTCCTCTAAAGCTTAGCCAGAGTCCAATCACCTGAAGGTACAAGCCTATAACCCAGGGTCTTTGAATACTTTGCCTGAGTCCTGTACTGTGCTTCAACATATGCAATTTACAGGTACGTCAAACTTCCTCTCTTTCGGTGCTAAAGGTAAAGCAACCATATTGTAGGAGAAACACTCATTTTCTGCATAGAAAGCTAAGTTTACTAGCAGTCAAATTTTATACTTCTTAAAAATCTTTTTGTGACTCAAGTACTGAAAAAACTCCTCCCTATTTGTTGTCTTCCAGGATTGAAATGTATTGTCGAGACCTAGCAGAGCGATTTGACGATGTTTGGGTGGTTAGTGGCCCCCTGACATTGCCGGTGCAGCATGAAGATGGCCAAAAGAGTGTCACTTATCAGGTGAGCCCTTGTTAATACTGACACATTCAGGAACATCACTGTAGAGTTGACTGGTCAGTGAGTATAATATTGAACACAATGAGTGTTTCTCAGCTTTGCCAAACTTCTCTCCTTAACACATTAGACAGGCGCAAAAAGCATTCAATCGTGAAATGAAGCTGTGCTTATCAGCAGCCTGAAATCCACATCATTTCTTTACAGAGGAAGAAAGACACCATGCATTCTCATTAACAGCTGCCATTTTATGTCAGTAGGGTGAGATTGTAATTTGATAAATCAGAGTTTTAGAATTCTAATGAAGCTGCTAAGAGGACAACACGGAGTGAGTGCTTCCTGTTGGGGGATTACAAGGATGCTGAAATAGCCAGGCTGTAGTTTCCTATTAAAGTGCTGCGAAAACGTATATATAAATCCTCCATAATATGAACCTGTGCTGGGTTTGGCTTTGTGCTTTCTAGCATTAAATGTGTCACTGATTGATCACCAACATTAATGAAAACCTTTGAAAAAAATGGACATTGAAATAACTGCAGTAAACTCAGTGAGGCTGGATTTCGATGGAGTGGTTTCCCCTGATATGGGTTTTCGTATACAATTGAGAGCTAGACTGCTCTAAAAATCTTAACACTTAAAAATGGAAGTAATTTCTGTGCAGTTGTTTATCCTGATAAGATCTACAAGTAAAAGGCAAACTTTGAGCTTCTGTAAAACTTAACCGTGCAGTGACCCCCATAATGCAAGCAAGAGTTGAATGCTTGTTTTAAATAATATATAGGCCAACGCTAGAAATAAATCAGTGAAAAGCTGCTAGCCCGAAAGGTAAAGGTAACAACACCTGTAAAATATATGGTATAAAAGTTCAGCGCTAATATATTAAGTGATGTCAAGTGAATCAATACAAAGTGAAATAAATACAATGGAAATGCAAAAGAGTCCAACAAATATAAATGGATAATAGTGTCCGTGGGACTACAAGGCACAGCAACCTCGGTGAAAAGCAAACTATGATTCAGATCCAGTGAAGAGATCCACCACCTCTGTTAGATGTAAACTCATCAGAAACATACTGGTAAATAGCATATATGTAGATCACATCAATGAGCCAAAGAGAAATGCACTGGACTGCTCCGCCACAGGTAACCGAAGGCAGGACTTTCTCTTCCTAGAGAAAATAGCTCACCACAGGAGCCAAGAAGTGGTGTATAGTGTAGTATTTTATTGTATTAAGAGTAGAAAAAATCCATGTGGGAAAGAATGTAAAATACATGTAAAAAACACAGTACCAATATGGCCTGCCGCTCCGAACTTCGGCTGCGTGACCTCAGCAAGTGTGGCTCCTCACCGAGAATGCTTGTTTTTCCTAGATGGATTGAAATAAGTGCAATTACTTTATTGCTCCCAGCTGCTCCAGCAGTTCCCGAAGCTGCTTCTCTTCGTTGTTCCACCAGTTGCAGGCTCTGTGACACCATCACATACAATGCAGGACCAGCAGTTGTTATGCAGCATTGTATATGAAGATAGTGAGGGCTTGTCTAAATCCTGGTAGCATCAGAAAGCCGAGGAGTATTTATACTTATTCCAACCCCCATAGACAAAAATAGGCAGTAGCAACCCAGGTCACCTGTAGGAAACCCACAATAACACAGGTAAAACGTACACTCACCAGCCACTTTATTAGGTGCACCTGTTCAATTGCTTGGTAACACAAATTGCTAATCAGCCAATCACATGGCAGCAACTCAGTGTATTTAGGCATCTAGACATGAGGACAACTTGCTGAAGTTCAAACTGAGCATCACAATGGGGAAGAAAGGGGATTTAAGTGATTTTGAACATGGCATTGTTGTTGGTGCCAGACTGGCTGGTCTGAGTATTTAAAAAACTGCTGATCTACTGGGATTTTTGTGCACAACCATCTTTAGGGTTTACAGAGAATAGTCCAAAAACGAGTAAATATCCAGTGAGCAGCAGTTGTGTGGACAAAAATGCCTTGTTGAGGTCAGAGGAGAATGGGCAGACTGGTTCGAGATGATAGAAAGCAACAGTAATGTCAATATGGACCAAAATCTCTGAGGAATGTTTCCAACACCTTGTTGAATCTATGCCATGAAGAATTAAGGCAGTTCTGAAGGCAAAAGGGGGTGCAACCCAGTACTAGCAAGGTGGACCTAATAAAGTGGCCGGTGAGTGTATAAACTTCATTAAGATAAGGTCACTGGTGGGAAGTTGACCCAGAACCTCAGTGCTGTAATGCAGTTCTAGTCCTCAAGCACACAGCCGTAACAGGGTCGGACAGCATGCAGAACCTGCATAATGAAATTCCCGGAATTCGTGGCTGCCACCTACAAGTGTCTGTTGAGATACATTAGAAGATGTGCTGTATGTGGTTCTGCACAAGGGGTTGTGTAAAAGCACTCACATGCACATAAAGCATGCTCCAGATGTATACTATTTGCATTTGGAGTACACATCTGTTCACATGCAGCTGCTTTACATTACCAATGCTGCACAGTGGTGTACAGCTGTTTCTTCTGCATCTCAAGGGGCAGCTGTACACTGCAGCATCTGGTCCCAGGAATGTCATTACACAGGTGTGCACACGTTACAGCTCCTGTACGGCTGTGTGCATGAAGCCTTAATATTTAAAAGGAACATTTTAAGTAAATATTTTACTTTGCAAGTTTTGAAACTGATGTATATTTTATTTGTACTATTTATATAAAACCTTTGTTTTACAAAAATACATTTAAAAAAAAGGAACACCTATGGCACTGGATTCTTAGAACATGATGGGCTTACTAAGGGAAAGACCAGCAGAACCTGTTTACCTTTAGGCTCTCATTATATGATTGTGAGAAGGAGTGAGGAAGATAAATCACTGCTCTTATGCTTGTCAGTGCAGATTGAAGCTTGAGCTATTGAGCTCTGTAAGCAGAAATTTTCAACAAATTCGAAAAAACTAACCTGGAAAACGTGAAAAGAAGCCCAGAGCTGTAATTGCTAGTTGAAAATAAAATTTAAAGTGTTCATATGCAGTATTTCATATTTACCTGACTAAAATTTACTTTTACTCCTGACGCCAACACATGCAGAAAATATATATGCAAAACCACTATAGCTTTCCTTTAATATATAACAACCGCCTATAATTAAAGTTGTCTTTTCTAATCCTGGGAGTAGTATGAAGAACAGAAGATACTGTTTATTATGACATTAATTATTGTGTTGTCTAGTTTGCCATTCACTATAAGCTTGTCATCTTAGTCTGTTCTGTACTTTGCAGGTGATTGGAAAAGATGATGTAGCGGTGCCAACACACTTATTCAAAGTGATCCTTGCACGGAAGAACCAATCTGCAGAGACATTGGCTGAAGGAGCTTTCATTGTCCCCAACATTCCAATCAGTTTTGATCACCAGTTGCCTGAATACCAAGTGGAGCATGAGGATCTGGAGAAAAAGTCTGGCTTAGTTTTTTTTTTTCCCCAAGTAGACAGATCTAAAGGCGTCAAGAACCTCTGTGAGGTGGACACATGCAGACTTATCCAGTTGGATGAGTTCAAGTTGTACATAGCAGCTAGAAGGATGAAGAATGCACAAAACTTGCAGAAGGTCGAGAAGATTTTAAGGGAACTGGATGAGGCTAAAATACAGCCGGACAAATATATCTTAGAGCTTTATGAACAAAAAAAGAAAGACTTTTCATGCAGTGAACCATCTGTTCTACGTGAAGAAAGGAGAGGATAAAGGGAATTTTTATCTCCTATATCTTAGTTTACATACCAATAAAACTGCTGCTTGTCTCTTATTTTACTTTGTATCTAAATATATTTACCTACTTTCCTTTAAGTGCCATTTGATTTTGATCTAGCTTAAATAATAATGTTTATGGTTCTTGGTCGGCAAAGAAGAATGAGGGCTAGTTATGCTGTGATAAGTGCGCACAGAGGCTGAAAAGATACAATTTGCTGATATCAGATCTTGGAAGATGGATTTAGATTGATACGGTTACTGCACTTTGCAGTTTATTAGTCGTGGACATGGACAGATGTCAGAAAAGTGGTGGCTGTAGTCGTTCTCACTATAACATGTACCATGTTATTATTAGGAGTGCCTGTCTTCTAAAGACAACAAAACATTCAGGTACTTCAAGAGACAATTTTTATCTAAATGTCGATCAAAAGGCTAATTTAGGCTAAATATAAAAACACTTTTAATATATTTATATTGATATTACACAGTTTATCTGTCAGTAGTCAATGGCATCTCCTGGAGGTGATATTTGTATAAACAGCTTCTTCTAATGTCACAATTTGAGTACTGGCAGGGTAGGTGTAGTCTGTTTTTTTTTTAACTGACGGAGGGCTCAGTACACTAAACAATAACCATTATTTTCTCTGGGAGAAAGCAGGTAATATAAGATACTAGGGTATACCTTTCGGTTCCAAATCAGTGTCACATTAATTGGCTGAATGGAGCAACATGGTGTCTAGGTGGTTATTGCTTTTACTTTACGGCACAGGGGTCCTGCATTCAGTTTCCACCAGAAATGTTCTGTATGAATTTAACATTTCCTAAGAGAATGTTTAGTCTTTTAAGTGGTTTCTTTAGATAGGGTAAAATAGATCAGCTGAATATGCAGAAGGTTGTACACAATAACACGAACCTCAATATTATAGCAATTGAAGCTGAGCTTTAGATATGGAAATTTTTCATAGTTACGGTGGTCCAGCTTGGACCATCGTAAGTACAGTATGTTGTTTGTGCCATACCTGTGGGATCTGTTGCTTGCATGGCACAGGCGCCATTTGGGAAACTCTTTGTTTCTCAGTCACTGCAAAGCTTTCTCTGATTGGACTAGGCAGAGAGGTGGGATGGTGTCATTACAATATCCACATCTGCCAATCAGAGAACACTGCATTCATTCAGAAAAAGCAAAGTGTTCTCTGAATGGCACCTGTGCTGAACGGGTGACCTCCTGTGTCCACAATGCAACATGCCCACTGCTTGGCACTGGACCAGGAAGCTAGTGGCCATCACTGTAGTAACAGTGCCTACTACAGGGATTTCCAGCTTCTAGGGGGATCCCACAGGTATGGCACATACATACTTACATTGGACAATTGTAACTACTGTATGTAAAAATTGCCAAAACCTAAACTCTAGGTTTAACTTTTTGTGTAGGCTGCACTAAAAAAAAGTTGTTGTTATTGTATGTTCTAAGTTCTGTGCAGGTATATGCTGGGTTCAGCAGAGGTTCTCATTAAGCTGGACCATAACAGGCAAATTGGCGTTCCAAGAGTAAGGTCTCCACAGTAGTGATTACATACAAAGCTTGGCAAGACTTCCTTGACATAGAAGAATAGCGGCCAAAAAAATAAGTTTAATGTTAACGATGGTTTCTGACATTACAGGTATGGTAATTGTAGCTTTCCCATGGATGTTGACTTTGTGAAGTCCTTTGTGGAACATTGTTGTGGAAACAAGGTCATTGAGTCCTGCTGTCACCTTTGCTGCAGTAGTTCTGTGTTGCTTGGTCACAATCCTTATTAAAGTGTTACTAAACTCACAACAGTAAAATCAGTCTGTATATGCAGTTATACTCACTGTGGAACCTAAGGGGTTAATCCCCTGCATTGTGTAAAAAGGCTATTTGTTCCTAATTGCTCTGTTCCTCCCCTTGTTTAAGCGACCACCTCTTATCACCTGATAAGACAGACTGAACGGTAGGCATTTTGCACATGCTCAGTTTGGTGTGTATTGCTAGAAAGGTTTTTTTTCTTCTCCTTCTTGGGAGTGTGCATATGATCAGCACAGGGCCAATCAACACTGGTCAGACAGAGGTTAGGGGTTTTGCATCCTCCTAGAGCAGTAAGAAAACTCCACCTACAAGTTTTATCTAGTGCTTGGCTGAACACTGATAGAAGTCGCAGCACTGCTCTAACTTCTGATGAAAAAAGGTATTTAGCAGTTTATATTTACTAAAATAATTTAACTTCTGTGTAATGTGGGAGACCAGATATAGTGAATGCAGGGTCCTGGGTTAAGTAACACTTTAATGTGTGATGGTCCCCATCATTCAACATCCGTTCTTGGACACTATTCATCCTTGCTGAAGAATGAATTATAATGTTGGGTCCACTTTAAAGCAATACTAAATTCTATTCTTTTGTTGTACGTTTAGTTGAGGAAGTCCAGACGTACATAATGTGTAGTCTGTGTCCTTTAAAATGTTCCTTTTAGGTTTTACAGCCACACCCCTTTAAGCCCCCTGTTTGTGGATGCCTGCCTGCCTTCTCTCGCTCTCCAGCTGCTAAGATGCCATCCTTCCATGCTTGTTCTTGGCCCAGGCTATGTTGTTCTATACAAACACAAAGGGGTTTATTTACTAAAGCTGGCGAGTCCAAAATCAGACTCCCTTCTGCATAGAAACCAATCAGCTTCCAGGTTTCATTGCCAAAGCTTCATTGAACAAGCTGAGGTTAGAAGCTGATTGGTTTCTATGCAGAAGGGAGTCTGATTTTTGGACTCTCCAGCTTTAGTAAATAAACCCCAAAGTGTCTGGCATGCCATGCCTCTGCTACCTCCTCCCAGACAGCTGCAGGAGCCAATCACTCTCCTACTCTCACTGTCTTCTCTACAGCCTGAAGTATGGGTAATGGCATAAATCATGGAGGAGCATGTGACGGTGACAAGGGACAGTAGTAGGGAAGTGTTTGGGTGAGGGGGAGGGGTTGTAAATGTAATGGGGCATTCTTACTATAATGCCAACACATTAAGAAAAAAAACAATTAAGCTTTTAGTACTTCTTTAAATTTCTAAGTATAGAAAACTTGATGTCCATTTTGAGGACCTAAACCCCAATGTTTTCCATTCCTGTCTTCTAGTAGACAAGGCAAGTAAGAATTTTAACATTTTCCTTTCTTAAATTGTAAATAAAGTAAATTTCATACTGAGCTGTAAAATCCATCATCAGCTCAGTTTTGCACTCCCATTACACACACAGCTGCGCTCTCCATAAAAATAAGACCCCTGAAAAGGTGCAATGGCCATCATCGTTCATAATGTTTTTTCTTTTTAAACTTAATGTATCATTTGGTGTTATGGTAGTAAGAAGCCACTAGAGGGAGACAGCGAAGCAGATAATTATATTGAATAGAACTTTGAACTACATTTCAGAAAGCACTCATATTGCTTTACTGTTTTCCATGCAATAATTTTGTGGTATGTACAGTATATGATATATCTGGTATATATTTTTTTTTTTCTTTTAAAAAACTCGATTTTAGATGGAGTTTTGTCAGCTTGACTTTCTCCAGCTACTCTGCTTTTCCTCTCCAATTCAAAACCTATTTTTGGGTTAAAGCTGATATGAAATGTATTTAATATACAAATAACATATGGTCCTGCATATATCTTCATATTAACATTTTTTAATACTTTGCACTCTCACTCTCTAGTGAATATGCCTACAGCAGAGAAGAGTATAGTGATGACCACAGCAGTGCTTATGCTCCTTCACTGCCCTATCAGAGGCTGGGATGGGTGCTGGACCATGCAGTGCAATTAATTTTTCAGGGAGATGTGTGCGACTGCGATTTTTAGGAGTGTTCACATGTCAAGGTTTGCCGCACCAATGTACAAACCCAGCAGCAGGTAAAGCAGTTTACATACAGTATTTGCAGAGCACTATTTAGCATAAGGCTCTTGTGGACCAGCACCTAAGTAAATAGACTTTGAGGGGTCAGCATCAAATATCAAAATGTGATATCTTTGCATATTGTGTGTCATTCTTCCGGCCACCTCTGGACATTTGTGACCACATTCAGTAAAAGAACTAATGGGGGTGCGGGGGATGATGAGATAATTTAGAAGACATTTTCTAGTTCAGGAAATGTAAAACTATTTTTCTTTGGTGGTCTGTTCAATTGAACAGTATTTCCACGTAAAACGCAGATCCCATGCTGCCATTAAAAGCACATTCTAACAGTTAACCATAGTTTTTAAATGACACATGGGTCATCATTCATAGGCATCTAGGGCAGCATCAGAATACACACCCTTGTATAAATATTTCAGTGGTGTATTTAGCACTTTGCCTGGAGGTCAGCTGTTAGTGGTTTCTGAGCTAATGTGGTAAGGACATTAGTTTGTAAGCCCCATGGGACAGGGACACTCCTGAAATGTTCATTGGAATTTAAAAGGTGCATGCCAGTCTTAAGCCTGGTACACATGGGCCGGTTCAGCAGAAGCCAGCCAACATTCGGCTCATGTGTACAGCAATCTGGCTTTTGTTGAACGAACATGCTGGAAAAAATCTGCCCATCCAATCAGCGCTTGCACCAATGGTTGCAAGAGTGCTGACCAGTGTGTTCTGGGGGGGGGGGGGGGGGGTTCAGAACACAATAGCTCATTGGGGAGATTGCTGTATTAACATTGCATACTTAGAACAGTGAGCTCCTCAGTATTTTTTCATTCATCCCAAAAAAATGTCAGTGTGTACTAGGCTTTATATAAAGGTCAATCTTTATGTTGGTTCTAGATAGAGATTATACTGCCCAGTACCATACAGAACCCATTGCTTGTTTACACTGCCATAGTGTATAGAACCTGTTTCTTAATGTAGTGATTTACTGTATAAAGTGTTACTCTTTGATGTCAGTTGATCTATAGAATACATCCAATGGTGTCTAGTAATATTAATGTAAACACGCTAAACTCTTGTAACTGGTGGTGCATATTAAAAA